AACTGTAGAATATAAGATTAACATGATGGTGTGGTAGAAGAAGAAGAAAATAAAGCAAGGAGAGGAGTTGGATGCCCAGGGGTGAGATGAAAATGCTTTAATGACCCTAATGAGGTTCTAATGACCCTAATGAGGAAGAAAAGAAGGAAAGTCCCTAACAAACCAATGCAGCTCTGTGATGAGATGTAGAAAGAAGCATAAATACTAGCATATTACACACTTGGGGGACTGTCGGGAGGCCTAAAGTAGAAGATAACTCTTGGGTTTCAATCAATGTCCCAGTTGCGCATCATTAATTAGGAAAACAGGAATAAGAATATATAGGAGGCCTTTTCTCTGAGCAAATGATGGCATGTTGATAGATGGCAAAGAGAAAACACACTTCATCAATTTTTATTTTGCTTCTAATAGACAATGTCAAGGAGAGTGATTTCAGACTAAAGGTAGGGGGTAGGGTAGAACAAATATAATAACTGAAGACAGTTCCCAATGGGTGAAGAGATTGTAGGAAAGCATCTATCTGCTCTGGGTGAACTGCACCCCAGGAAACAGAGAGAACTTTTAATGGTATCTCTGCAGATCTGTTGTTGGCCTTGCAGAAAGCTTGGAGAATGTGAACATTGGTTAGAGAAAGGAGGGAGGTTGTGTGTGAGCAAATAAAATTCCAAATTTCAAAGACGTGGATTTCAGAAACTGCAAACCAATGATTTTAATATCATTTTGGGGCAAGATCCTAGGGTAGCATTCAGAAGGGATGAGTTGTAGAAGAGATCCTAGAAGAGAAAGTGAGGATTATTAGAACTTTACATGGGTCATGTGAAAACATGACTGACTGTGTGATGGTGTTTTTTTCTTTATTGGTTGACTTGGCTGTTAGATGAAGGAGCACTGCTGGATACAAGACACACTAATAATCAGGAAGAATCAGAAACCCAGCAGCAGCAAGCTCAAGGAGGAAATAAACAAGGGGTATTTAGCCTGGAAGGAAGAAGGCTTAGGGAGAACATGATGGCTGAGGTGAAGTATGAGAAGGACCATTACATGGGAGATGAATCAGGTACCTGTGGGCTTCTCAAAGGCCAATGGGTAGGATTACAGGGATCTAGGATAAAACTCAATGTCAGGAAGGATTGTCTAACCATTTACACCATCTGACAGTGGAACAGGGTGCTTGCCAAGAGAGTGATTTCCCTATCACTGCAAGTGTGCAAGCAGAAGCTGGCCATTACTTTTTGGGAAATGTTCTAGGAGAGATTCATGCGCTGTTGTGTGGTTGACTCTAAAGTCCCTTGTTACACAGGCTAGAGGAAGAATCCACCATCTTTTTAGCTCCAAATACTAGATCCTCCCTAAATGGAGTTGGGCTGTCCAGGAAAACTGCATTTCAAAGGAGGCCTCAAATGAACATCTTTAAAAGGCTTTTGGGATGTCACCAAGGACAAAAATTTCAGAACAGAATTTTAATGATGGTCAGAAAAGAGGAGGACAGTGTGCCATTTAGGTCCCTTCCCCCAGCAGGGCCCTGTAATTACAGGACTGCTGAGGAGCACCATGGGAGGAGGGGCAAGGCACATCCTGGGAAGCAGGCCTAAGGCTCAGGCCAGGAGAAAAAGTTAAAAAGGAAGAAGAAAGGGACAGAATAATGGAAGAGGGAGGACAGATAGGGATAAAATGAACAGGTTCCTTCATTGCCAAATGGATAACTGCCTGGGCTTCCAGGGGTCTCCAAGGCACCTCTTGCAGCTGGTTCTCAGGGGAGGGCAGAGCTGGGAATGAGGGGAGTGAGGCTCTAATGCTGGATGTGCCCCAACTTGCCGAGTGACCTTGTAGGTATCATATCACCTTTCTGCCTCCTCTCTAGGGTCAAACACAGACATCCTGTTAGCCTACAAGTGCTCTGGGCTTTACAGAATAAAATAGCTCCAGAAATTTCAGACATCGTCTGCATGTACAAAGTGTTTCCACATTTTCACGGTTGGGGGAGAGAGGGTACTGGTGGGCGGAGGGTAGAAAGGAAGGTGAGAAGGCATTGTGGCCAAGTCCCTTGGCTCCACCTCGCCGTCCTAGGGGACCCAGGGGACCAGGAGGGGGCAAACGGCACATACCCACAGCCTCTCGACCAGCTGGGCACCCAAGAACCGAGCGGACATGCTCAGGCTCTGCTATCCCTTTCAGCAAATCCCTTGCCGCATCCAGGGACGGAAAGCGAGGCTCGCCCCTCCCCCACTAGATGGCACTGAAACGCCTCGTTCCCGATTTTCAAACTGCAGGGAGGATGAAAAAAGACAAAAAGAATATGGTGGAGGTGCGCTCTTTCTGGCTCGCAGGGCCCGTTTTGCAAAGGAGGGTGCCGGATACTCTTTTTCCCCGGGGCAGCTCTTTCCCCGGCAGTGCGGGCCCCCGGTTTTGGAGTGCGGGTGCAAATGAGGGGCGAGCATTAGAGAGAAAAACCCGGTCTTTCAACCTGGGAGGGAGGCTCCCAGCCTTTGCGGCGCTGTCTCACGTGAGCCGGGCCGGGGGCGGGGGGGAGGGGGGCGTTTCTGGGATGAAGTGGGGCTCGCTTGCGGCCCACTCGCTCAAGGTCTGGGGTCCTTCACTACTTCCCAGAGCCCGCGCTGAGCCTAAATCTAGCCGCCACCCAGTTGAGGACAAATCCCGCGTCGGGGTTTCATTTAACCCCACCTCCCCTTCTCAAAGAGCGAGCCCCCGGGCGTTTTCAAAATATCTATTAAGCACCCCCCCCTACACACCCATTAACATTCTCTTCCTCTGGCCTTGAAAGGATCAATCAATTTCCTGCTGGAAAAATCCTTTCCTGCTGGGGAGGGAGGGAGGTGGAGGCAGGTGGAGGTGGGTGTGTGTCGGGGTGTCTGGCGCTGGCGTGGGGCTAGACTGGGGTTGGCCGTGGCAACCCCACCGACGCACTATGCCCCAGGGGGAAACGCCTGTAGCTAGCAAGGTAGCGCCTGTGGCTTTCTAGGGGAAAACAAAGATCAAATGTGATCCAAGATACCGGCGACCAAAACTGGGAGACGCAGGGAACTTCCTCAGCCCCTCCGGATGCCGACTCTGCAATAAGCAGCCTTTAAAAACTGTGGTCGATTTGAGGGAATTTTCCACCACTGAAAAGAGATAAATAGGAGATGGAGGCAACATCCCTAAATTTATAATAATGCGTGTAAACAAACATGCTACATACTACATATATGTATATGTGCATAAATATGGATGTGGTTGGGCACATACCTATCTAGACACCATTGACTTGCCTGGTCAAAGACTAAGGCTTAGACATTTCGTGCCTGGGAAATGGTGCAGTTTATCTTTAAGGATGCTAGAAAAATAAGAGATGAGGCTCACGTTGCACGGATGACATCACTAGCTTTTGGCTGCGCGCTCCGTGTTCTCGTCTGTGGGTTTTAGCCAAGGCTGCAGCGCCCGGCGCCCGAGCGAGCGAGCGCGGCAGCGGCTTCCTCCGGCGCTCGCAGCCGGGCGATGCGATTTCCCGAGCACCCCGGGCGCAGCCGGGGCTCTCGCTCCCCAGCACCCGCCCCGCCCGCGAGGCCCCGGAGCCGCCGCGGCTAGAGGAGAAGGCAGCGACCCAGCCTCCCTCCCCCACCCTCGCCCCATTCACCTCGGCGGCCACCGCGCGCCAGGAGCCTGATCGTGGGACGTTGAGACCGGGACGGGATTCTCTGCACGCTGCCGAGTGAGCCGGCGCCTCGGGTGGGCTGCGAAGAAAATGGTGCAGTCTGAGAGCGGCTGACTCCAGTTGGGCAGAGCAGACAGCTACAGTGCCGGGCTCGGGTGGCGGGAGAAGGGGGCGGATTGTTTTGAAGGGCCGGGGCCGCTGTTTTCCTCGGTGCCTGCAGCATTTTCTTTGCACCTGGGCAGCACGTTCCCGGGGCTACTTGGGAGCCAGATGAAGTGAGGCAGAGGCGTCGCGGGAGAGGCGGGTCTGGAACGTGCCGGGTGGATACTGAGGAAGAAGAGGGCGCTGGGGAGATCGGCATGACGCTCCGGGGGCTGGCTGCCCAGCTGGCGGTGAGCCCCGATCGCGCGACCTGTCCATGGTGTTGAAGGCACCGCGAGCCGAGCTCCGCGCGCCCCGCGCCGTGCGCCCTGCCGGGTGCACCCTCCTCTGCGCAGCCTGCGCCTCGCGCCCGCCAGCTGCCGCCCAGTTGTCCTCAGTCCCGGGCCAAGGCTCGTCCCCTAACGCCGTCCGAGTGACCGCGCCGTCGGCCCGTGGGGCCTCCTGAATGGCGAGGCCAGACGCAGACGACCCGGGAGCCCGCGCGGAAAGGTCGGCCGCGACCGTGCGCCCACGGGGAGCCCGCCTCTGAGAACAGCGCGCTGGCCAGACAGAGCAAGGGACCTGCTGGTGACCAGAGGACGGAGATTTTAAAAAGACCCGACCCAGAGAGGAAGAACATTTCTTCGCTTGCAGACCGGAAGGGGGAGAGTCGCTGAGTGGGAGACCCAGGCGGGACTCAGGACAGCCGGCCCTGGCATCTGGAGGTTTCCTTCGCTGGGCGGCCGCATCGCGGGTGCCGGAGTTCATTCGGTCGTCGCGCAGCTCCTCGTGATAGCCCCCACCCCCTCACCCCAAGAAAAAGGCAGGCGAGGGGTCCCATCGCTACCCTGCACAAAGAAAGCCCGGCAGCCCCACTGCAGCCGAGGGCACTTGGTGTTTAGTTTCTGGCCCCAGGGCAGCGGCGGCCGGTTCAGGGCAGTCGCTTCCTGCGGGGCAGGGAGGGGGCGGGAGGCGGTCTTGTCCCGCTCGCCGCCGCCCGAGGCTGCACCTGCCCCGGAGGATGCCCAGGAGCCCGCCCGAGCCTCCCCGGATCAGAACTTTTTAGGCTGCCCGCCCCCATCCCCGCAGTCCCTGGGCCGCGCGCACTGGCAGGCGGGGGCGAGGGGGAGCCGCCGCGCGAGTCCCCCCTCCGGTCCCCCTCCCCCCCTTGGCTCGGCCGCCCGCCGCTTTGTTCCGGGCGCGCGGAGGGAAGGCGAGGCTGCGGCGGATCATGCCCATGGTGTAGCCGCCAAGCGGAGGCATGGCTGCCGGAAGGTTACTGCTCTATACGGGCCTCTCGCTAGCGCTCTGCGCCCTCGGCATGCTGGCCGTGGCCATCTGCTCGGACCACTGGTACGAGACGGACGCCAGGAAGCACAGGGACAGGTGCAAGGCCTTCAACACCCGCCGGGTCGACCCGGGCTTCATTTACAACAACAACAACAACTTGCCGCTCCGGGCGAGCCGCTCGCGCCTGGACCGCTGGGAGGGCAAACTCCTCCGGGCCCGGAACCGCCGGCAGCTCTTCGCCATGAGCCCGGTTGACGAGTGCAGTCGGCAGTACAACTCCACCAACATGGGCCTCTGGAGGAAGTGCCATCGGCAGGGCTTCGACCCCGAGATCGCAGCCCTCATTCGGAAAGGTAAGCGCGAGGCGCGAGGCGTGGCGCTGCGGAGAGCCCGGCGCCTTCTAGGCCCGGCCACCCTCTCCTCCCTTCGCCGGGCCACAGTCTCCCCGGCCTCCTGCTTCCAGGAGGTCAGGTTGGCCAGGCCCTGCGGAGCCTCGGACTGGCCAGAACTTGCCTCCCAGTAGCTGGTAATGGAGGCTTACTTCTCTCTGGCCGGCCTCTGGTCTTGCGTTGGTCTGATGGGATTCCCGTGGAATATCGTGGGCCAGGGTTTTTAATCCAGGCTAATGCTTCATCAGTCTCTGAAAATGGAGGGAATCTCTCATGTTGTGTTGTTCGCAGAGCAAACCCCAAATTTGAGAATGATGTGTCAGGCAGACAGCCTCCTAGTTTTAATCTTTGTTTTAGATGTCGAACTGATTCAGCATCTCACCGAGAAGGCCTTATTCACCTTATTCACGCCACAAACACTTGCTAAGTGCTAGACTATACTGAGCACGGTGCAGGCATTGGTCACATAAACATCAGTAAATCACAGCCCCTGCCCCGTTGCAGCGACAGGCCTGTTGACCAGGAGCATCATACCACGATTCTTGATCTCTCCTTTTGGGGAGGTGGTTGACAAAAGTGACTTGTGTGCATCGAATTTAGCAGGGCCTAATAAACACATAAAAAGTAGTTCCTCAGGTAACACCAAAGTGGGCACTTCAGCGGAAAAAAAATTACCATGTTCTGAAGATTTATATCAAAAATACCTGAAGTATTCCAAAACAGAAAACAGACTTAATTTGCTAATGATGAAAATTTCTTGGGTACTTTAATGTTGATCACATAATTTTTAAAAGTCTGTTCATCTGATGCAATTTGTAAATCTTGGATGATTTATACTTTGGGGACCACCCTGTTCTGTTAATCCATTGAAATGTTGTTTGGATATATATTAATATTGCTCTGAAAAAGGGAATGCGTTCTCTTCTAGGGTAGTTGCATTCTGGAAGATGTGGTGTGACTTTCTGAGTCTTGTCGTCGTGTCCCCCCCCCGCCCCGCCCCGCTGTGTTTCATGTTCAACTATTAAATGGTGATGCCAAGGTGAAAATGATGTTCTCTGCAAAGTCTCTGAGGCCCAGATGGAACAGTTCTTACTGTCCCTTAATATTATAATGCAGGTTTGCTCCTGTTGTAAAATATTATTTGTGAGAACTGATGTTCTTTCATTCAGAAAAATGTTGAAATTGATCAGAAAAAATAGTTAATTTGAAAAAAAAAAGTCAGTTATTTAAGAATGACAAGCAGTGGGTATGGTCTAGGTGGCTAGTCAGATGTAGGTGAGGTGAAGTCCAGAAGGAGAATCCATCTTCATGTTTGTTTTGTAGCTTCTGTAGAATGATTAGGGATTTTAGCTGATTCGGTTATGAGTGTGTTAATACTACAAACACCACAACTGCTTCAGAGTTAGGCTCATATTAGAGCAGGGTGACCCATTTGGAGCTCTACAACTTTGTAAAGATGGGCAGGATATTAGAGAATTCCAGAAGAGAGTAACTTGGTTTGGATTTAGAAGTAGGAAGGCAAGAGAAAACAGAATCTTTTTTAACAATGGGTAGACTGTAACAGCGTTCAGATTCTCAGATTCGTGAAGTGTTATGTCGTTTTTTTGTGCTCCGCTTTCATTAAAATTGAAATGGTAGGAAGTTAGCTGAAACATGAGGAAGAATTCATGTTAATAACACTGAAAAACAGTGGTAGGACTTGCTGAAGGACATTCTTGCATTTCCTTTCTTAAAGGTCTCTGGCAGCACGATGGATTGGGTATCCTTCTGTCTGGCATTGGTTCACTCCACTCAGAAAAAGGGGGATGGAATCCATGGCTCCTGGTGGTTCCATTGAGGGCTTTGATTCCATGTTGCTTTGCCTAGCAATCCGGCTAGAAAGGTTGACTTGGTCTGTGCACCAGAGAGCTTCGTTACCATAGTGACATGTTCTTCCGGTGAAGCTGGAAACACAGTGACAGGGAAAGGGATAGGGGAAGAGGGTACAACATTTTGACTTTGTATCGACTGATTTTTAATTGCAGCAACAGAAAATGGACACTGCACAGCAGGGGGATTGAATACACTGATACCCAGAGTTGGCAGAGCATTGTATTTCACTTGAACTAATGGAGATGCTGTTCCCCATCACCCAAAATACAGCAATCACTGTCAGCTGCAAACACCCGCTTACCAGGGCCGTTTCTGTCCATTTGACATTCTTGTTAGGTATTATTGAGATAGATGGCATGCCAGCCTTACAAATCTTGAGGGACTTAAGGTCACAATCTTCATTTTTAACCTCAAAACATAATCTGTGAAAGCTAGATCTTCTCTTTTCTAAGCAACAAGAGACACATTTTGGAAATAAGTGCATCTTATATTAGTAGAATTCACAAGCAATTCCAATAACATAGAACATAATTTCTAGACTTAATCAGCGTTCTTCCTAGATTGGCACATTTTGGAAGGAAATAAAAAAAAATTGATATCCCTATATTTAAATTTAAGGCAGGCAACTTAGGGAAAGATACTTACCTCATAGTATTCATTAGTAGCCTCAGAAGATATGTTAGTCCTTTGTCTTTTGGGGGAGCATCTTAGATTCAAATTCTGGGAGATATGTGTTGGGTGAGGGGAAGGGAAGGGAAACCAGAGAAAAGACTGTATAAAATCTGTCAGTATTATGGGAAAACTAGAGATTTATCTAAATGATCATACAGCCCCATGTAACTCAATCATTTGTTAAATCAATGTTCATTACAGTAGAAAGTGCTGTTTGTGCATTTTAAAATAAAACAAAACCACATAATTAATAAGAAAACAAAAGTCAAATCTATATCTGATTTGAAGATGAAGTCCTTTGGATGCATGTTCTCTCTGAAATCCATTTCTTCAATGCCCACTGCCATGATTGTACCAACGAATATGCATTTCTGGTCACTGTATATTTATTTGTCTTATTGAACTGTAAGTTCCTGAAGGGCAGGAAAGAAAATCATTTGTAAAATACATTCACCAGATGCTTGGTCCTTGGGAAATGTTTCATACAAATAAGGTTCACAGAATTGTATCCATCAAAAGCTTATTCTAATTGTAGGAACACTTGTGTGGGAATCCAAATAAAGGATTAGTCAGAGAATTGTGATGAAAAAAAAAATGAACCAGGGTGGCTCCCAGGGCAGTTTAATATTGCAACAGTTGCTACATAATTTAACAAGGAAGATTTTTTTGAGCAAAAAAGTTTTGCTAAGGAATAAGGGAAACAGTACTTTTTTTTGGGGATAACATATGTCACGGAACAGACATGTATCACCCACGTCAGTATTTTTCACATTAGATAAGATTTTGATGATTTCCTTCTTGGAGGTAGGATTGGGTAGAGGGTGTAGCAAGGATAGATCACCCTTGAATTCCCATATGACTCTGTCCATAATCAAGTCCTCTTGTCTTCTTGCTTTTCAACTGTGTCAGTGTCTCCCTAGTAAGTCACTGCAAGCATGGGGGGACAGATCAATGACAGGATCAGTTTCTGAAATCCAGGAGACTTCCAGACCCTTAGGAGGAGCAGCTACAGGTAGGATTTTGTTCCAGGGAGCATTTATATTCTTTAATTTGTACTGAAATGTTATGTTGATATGGCTTAAAATAAATAGACCTTCAACTGAGACTCTAAGAACTTTTTTATTATTTGAAAATAGGCCTTATAAGAGAATTTGATCTATATAATCAGGGAGTGGTTGTCAATACACTGAGGCTTATTTAACAAAACATTGCATATATTTATATGCAATGACTAATGTGCTCAGCAGATATTTACTGCACATATATTATGCGATGGGCACACACCACAAGAACGCAGCGATGAATAAGACCTGGTCCTTAAAATTTCCCCAGTCTGTTAGCATCACAGGGAATACATGATAACTACAGGGTGATGAGAGCGGCGGAAACGGATGCAGAGTAGCACAGATCAGGCAGTGATGGATTGTGTTGGCAGTGGGGTGAGGTAAGCCGGGAGGGAATCAGGGAAAGTTGCACGGAGGAAGTGAAATCTGAACAGAGGTTTCATGAGGTTGGGAGGTGGATGGCAAGGAAAGGGCAGTTCAGGCCAAGAGGGCAGCATCTGCATAGCCAGGGAGGTGTGAAACAGCAGTCTGGCCTCGGGAGTGTTGACTGCTGGAGGGAGGGAGAGGAGCAGAGCGTGGAGCTGGAGAGCGAGGAAGAGCCAAGGCCAGGGGCTTGCCTACTCAGATCCCAGGTAGGGTAGCCACTAGCCACAAGTGGCTATTTAAATTTAAAATAACCAGTATTCAATGAAATTAAAAATTCATTTCCTTAGTCTGTTGGCCACATTGCGAATGTTCAAGAGCCATGCGTGGCTAGTGGCTATCGTTTTGGGTGGTGCAGATGAGAGAACATTCCTCTCGTCACGGAAAGCTCCATTGGACGGTGCTGCATGGAGCCTAGAGCCTCTAAAGAGAATAAGCATGTACTTCGTTTCAGGTGAGGTTAATTAAACATGATAACTTGAGCTTAAATTTAAGTATATTGTTCTACCCTTGAAGAAACTTTGCTACTTGAATGTTTTGGGCAGAAGATGTGAGTTCATGGTCAGTTACACTAAATCTATATTTTATGCATTTTCCATCTTTGACTCACAGAATTCTCACATGCTTCTCTGTTCTTTCCCCTCCCTCTCTCAGCTCCATTAAAAGAAACTGGCATTGTTGACTGGGCGGGGAGGATTAATGATAATTAATGATAATTGCCAAATGCCAGGTACTCCTCTAAGAGTTTTACAGATATTAGCTAATGTATTCTTCATTATAACACTCAAGGTGGGTGTTATTATTTTTTTCCTCGCTATTCTACAGTTAAGGAAACTGAGGCATATAAATGTCAATGAACTTGCCAAGTCTCATGATAAGGAAGTAAAACTGCCAGGATTCGAATTCTGGTTCCAGGTTTTTTTGTTTGTTTGT